CTAGGTGGTGTCTAGACGGCTTAGGCTGATTTAGGTAAATTTCTTGTATATCTTGTAAATAAGTGTATACTAATACTTACCAAAAATTATATTTATATGAAATCCCTAAATAAGATAGTAAAATAATAATAAAATGCGTATCTAACAAGTCCAAAAATCCATAGCACTTGATGTTATGAACTGATAGCCTGACAATCAATGTTTTTTTTAATGATAAAGAAATAATAGCACTTGATGTTATGGATGGACTGACAACCTTTTTTCTTTAAGAAAAGTCAAGACTAGCTGTCCACACTTGAATGGACCAAAAAAAAAAAAAATAATAATAATAAAAAAAATTAAATAGCTTAGAAGTTATCACGTGGGTTTGGAAGGAAGAGAGAAACTAATTTTCTCTCATCTTCTTCCTCTTCGCGAACACATACCAGAAGCATGAAGTCCAAAAAAACCAGAAACATTCATCCTTTCTCAAGTTCGAACACAGAAAAAATTGAAATTCCCAGACCGCCTAGGCCACCCAAGGGCCACTCAGGCCGCCTCGGCGCTCGCCTAATCCCTGTCCCGATTTTGCATCAATCCCGGCGGTTGGCCACCACCTAGCGCCCAGGCCGATTTTTAGAAAACTGGTAAATATTATAAAGAGAAATTAATTTGTCAATTTAAAAGCTTGCTATGTTAGATGACAGGCCTTTAACACTATTATAAAAATCCTCTCCTAGGGCCGCCTAGGCTCCTACTAGGCGCTAAAGGGTTGACCATCGTCTCGATTAATTTATAGGCTTTTGAAAATTAAGAAATGACGCATAGACTGACCTAAGCGTCCGCCTAGGTTGAGACTCTCACTTAAATTTCATTTTGTATTTTATTTTTTCAATAAATTGTAAGACATTTGTTATACATGGATGAACACTCATTAGATGCTTGTTCCCATGTTTTCAATATTTTTTTTTTATTAACTCCCATATTTTCAATATGTTCTATAATCTATATGTCATTCCACATTGCAATTTAAGTATCCTGTAAAACTTAATCACTTGTAATATTCACTTCAAATGCATACCCCAACAATCGTGGGATGCATGTATTTATATGAGTTTCATGATTACAGATTGGGTTTGAAAACCCTAGATACAAGGAAAGGATTACAACCAGAAAAGTAAGGAAACAGATTACAACCATACATTCAAAAATACAACAGACGAACAAATCCTAAACAGCCCTAGAAACAAGGAACAGCTGGAACGATAAGAGTTTGAACGAAGTCAAACTCCACAAGTTTCGGCAATAAGCTTAGCATGCTGATCTTGTCTAACATATCCTAGTACAATTATGTACCTTTTTAAGTATAAGAAGATATTTATTTTCATGTTATATAATAAACTAATTATAATTATAAAAAATCACCTACGTCCCACCTAAATGCCTAGGCGCTAAATCATTTTCTGCCGCCTGACTAGCGTCTTTGAGAACCTTAGCCTTTATCAATGAAGTTGCATGTGAATCTTTCTTCACCCTTATACCTTTTGTTCTTTTCTTTTTATAAGTCCATGTCCATTTCATATCACAAAACTACAAGAACCATAATTTATTAATGATCCAGAAACTTAGCGTACTTCCTATCGTATCATAAATTGTCGTATACCTTTTCTTAGACAACTATGATAAACCAACAAGAACAATAAGCTATCAAAAATTGAGCCAAACAATGTATATCAAGGTAACATATATTCTACAAGACATACACAACATAACAATGAACAAACCTCGCATAAGGTGTTGAAAATAAGCCAACTACATATGTCACGCCGATGCACTACGTCTACCAACTAATTATTAAACTATATAGTACGAATCATTAAAAACATTTGACTAATTAAGAAAGGGCAATAAAACGGGCATTATCTCATAAGCATGCATTCTTGTTTCCACTCACAGTAGGGCATTTGAAATATTATTATTTAGGGTTTGGCATCATGAGAAACAGTTGGTGCCGACTCGTATCTGACTAGACACTGGCGTGGCATACATTATCCCTCATTATTGTTATTTCTGGAATCCAATTATTGACCGTACTATGACAGTTTTGCAGATTTAAATCTCCCAATCTTCGGGGACCATCGTGTGGGTGGGATTCGACGGTCTCAGAATATCATCCCACATATTATTCACGTGAATATTAGTCAGTGCGAGGTGTGCCACGAAACCTAGGCTGGCAATTGAAGGACTTATGTGGTGATTGTGAAGAATGATTTGTATGAAACGAGAATGTAAAACTAGTTGTATCTTAAATCATGCATGCAACGCCATATAGATGACATGCAACGCCATGTAGGATACTCAAATCACAAAGCGTATTATTTTTTTGGGATGTTATGTGAAAATTTTAAAATAAATGATTTATAGGATGCTACGATGACATTTCTAAAGAGAAGGAATTATAGAAAACAGAAATATAGAGGCCATTCTCGTGTTGAGTTTGTTGAACAAACGATATTGTCTACACTAAGAGAGAGGAGATGGACTTAGCCTCACAATGGGCTAATAATAATGTGGTTTAAATTTGCTTTTGTCGAGAATCGAACCTAAGACCTCTCACTTACAAGTGAAGAAGAATACCATCAGACCGTAGTACTAAGTGGCTCTCGTGTTGAGTTTGTGACACTATTGAATCGCTCGCATTTCAGACATTCTAGCTGGCTAGGGTTTCTACCGTACCTAAGCAACTCCCCCTTATAAACCTGGCAGCAGAGAGAAAACATCGATCGATCTATTGGATATAATGAAAAAGTTCATTTTCTTGTTTGTAATTAAAGAGTTGATATTGGATAATTTGGTGATACTATCACTAGTTAATGAAAAATCAGGATTATTAGGATAATTAGGTCAAATTAGGTGAAATATTCAAATTTGGGGTCAAACAAAAATGAGGTATTTGATTTGTATCCTTTTTTAATTAGAAGAAACGATAACGGTATTATTCATAATGTTAAGAAAGCATACAATCTTTAAGAAAGACATCATAGTGTAATTCTGGGATTAATTGGTGAATCGGCATGTTTTTTCTCATTGGATAGTTTTTGGATAACCATTATATTTAATCAATAAAATTCTCCTTTTTTGTTCCAAAAATTAATAAGAGGACTATATTCCGATTGTCCTAAATGATCTCACATAACAAATCATCCCATATTTGAGGTAATTACTTCAAATATGTTTCTTGTTTTGGTTGCATCATCCAAATCATCTTTCAAAGCTATTAGATTAATAATCAAATTAAGTTCGATGTGGGAACAACATGCAGGACAATACGGACGGGAGCTTACGTGAATCTGACTCTGCATTTCGTGGAATACACTCACCAGAGTTCTGAATATCCGTTGAGGAAAATCATGCATGCATATTGTGCTTGCCTTAATTCAGTTACTTCCAAAAAGGCACAATTTTATCGTCGTATTTGTGTAATCTGGAAAAATTAGTTAAGCTTATTTTTAGCTACACCATTTGGCACATGATTTAATCTCATTTTGTTCTATGTAACTCAAAAGTCATCACTTTACTATCTAAAGCTCAAAATTCGCTTCACTTTGCCCTCTGAAACTTGATTTTGATGTCAGTTTGCCCCTTGAAACTTGAAATCGTCTCTATGAAACTCAAAATTCACTCCACATTGCCTTAGATCTGTTAGTTTCTTATATGGGTTGGATTTGGGTGAGCTTGGCTAATCAATTATTTTATTTTATTTTCCTCATCTCTTCAATTTCTTTTAAATTTAATATTCTCTAATTGTTGAATGGTGGTACGTAATGGAGATTTATAATCAAATTTATTGCACATGTGACATAATCTTATTGGGTGTTGGATCTCATGTATGTTTTAGGAGGCAACCCATAAGTTTTAGGGAGAAGAGAGAGTCTACAAGTCAAAGTGGAACGAATTTTGAGTTTCAATGAGTAAAGTAGTAACTTTTAAGTTACACGGGGCAAAGTGAGATTAAAATGGAATTCCAGGGAGCAAAACTAAAAATAAGCCAATTAGTTACTACTTAGTGGTATTTGTGGGAAATTTTTCTGTGTAACTGTAACATAATTTTGTGTAGCAATAGTTACATTGGTATTGTGTATGAATAATATTATGTGACTGTAATACACGAAATTTCTTGTATTTGAGGCATAGGAAAGGAAACTATGATCCCAAATTTCGTTGCCCATAAATGAGGAATATATGAAAACTGTGATGTAATAGTCTAACAATGGTGATCACATTTTGCCAAACTATAATATCCGTGGGGTTCTAGCTTTTAATTTACGGGATTGTTAGCAACTTTTGTACTAACCTTTGTAATTGGATTATTTCACTGTACCTGTCATTTTCTTATGGAAAAACAAAATGTTAATGCGTTTGAGTCTTTGACAAGGAATTAATGATGAAAAATAAAAAATATAATCTCAAATACATTAAAGGTCTTTGTTTTTGTGTAAAAAAAAAAAAATACACATGTTATGTGAAAATTGAAAAGATTCAAATACAAAAGTTGCTAGCATTTCTCTTCAATTTACATCTTATATTGAGACAACTTTCAAAGTCACAAATGTAACGGCATCTCAAGTTTATATCGTGTTATTATGTCGTTTGTAGTATCAACATAAGGGTTCAAAATTCATGTCCGGGAGAAACTAAGGTCCAAAATCCCAATACGGATGAAAATTCCCCAAGAAATAGACGGATATAACCAAAAAGTGTGATTGTAACGGATTTGCTTTTATTTATGGCAAATTTGTACATTCGATGAGGACGAATCACCTACGTATAAATCCAAAGTAGATAATACTTTGATTTTGGATTATTCTCGATAGTGGATATAAATATATGCATAATTAGAATATACCGTAAATGTATTTATTAGGTGCTCTATAATTTCTATATTGCAACTTGACACGAAATCTTATTTTGTAATTCCATAGGCTCGCTTGCTTTCAACCCTAGTATAAATATTACACCAAGAACCGCTCTGTTCCCACGCAAAAAAGAAACCTACACCGTGTCTGCCTTCTTTTATTTTGGGTGCAATCTTACTCTGTATATTTCAATCACACAAAAAAGCAAGCAAAAAATGGGTAAGGGAGGCAAAGCTGCTGAGCCAGAAAACATGGGTGCTTGGCTTCTTGGTGTTAACAACATCAAGATCCAACCTTTCAAGCTTCCCAGTGTTGGTATGCACCTTCCCTAAATCTTTTAGTTTTGTCGTAGTTTTCTTTCAGTTTTTAGTTTTCAGTCGAGATATTTATGATCACAACGACTTACATCTCGCACCATTTTCTTGGGATTTCTTAATTTAGGGGCCCATGATGTTCGAGTTCGGATCAAGGCTGTCGGCATTTGTGGAAGTGATGTTCACTACCTCAAGGTTCATCTCCCTTCCATGTCCTTTCCCCTGTTTTTAATATCTAGGGATTTTTAAAATTTTATTTTTGTTGGTTTTAGATGGCATTGTTCATTCCTGAAATAAGAATGAAACCAAAGTTGGAACGTTGATAATTTTCTCTGTTATATCCAACAGATCGGTACCTAATCACTGTGTTTTTTTTTTTTTTTTTGGTTTTTTTTTCAGACCATGAAGTGTGCAGATTTTGAAGTTAAAGAGCCAATGGTAATTGGCCATGAGTGTGCTGGGATCGTTGAGGAAATCGGGACCGAGGTGATGCATCTCGCTCTGGGCGATCGTGTGGCAGTAGAACCTGGAATCAGCTGCGCACGGTGCCAGCAGTGCAAAGGTGGAAGGTACAATCTTTGCCCGGACATGAAGTTTTTCGCCACCCCTCCGGTTCATGGTTCCTTGGCAAATCAGGTAAAAATATACACAATAATAAAATTTTATAGGCTTTGCGCCAGATTGATATTGTATTATCACATGCATTAATTAGGCTTGTGTAATAACCGTTTCGTTTAACAGATTGTGCATCCTGCGGATCTGTGCTTTAAGCTCCCGGAGAATGTGAGTTTGGAGGAAGGGGCAATGTGTGAGCCCTTGAGTGTTGGGGTTCATGCTTGCCGGAGAGCCAATGTGGGACCGGAATCAACTGTCCTGATCATCGGAGCCGGCCCCATCGGTCTGGTTTCGGTGCTGGCTGCCCGTGCATTTGGGTCACCAAGAATTGTCATTGTGGATATGGATGACCAGCGTCTAGCCATGGCGAAGTCTCTCGGTGTTAATGACACTGTCAAAGTTTCGACAAAAATGGAGGATTTGGATGATGAAATTGCCCAGATTAAGACAGCAATGAAATCCAACGTGGATGTGAGCTTCGATTGTGTCGGTTTTAACAAAACCATGTCAACAGCTCTTGGTGCCACCCGTCCCGGCGGCATAGTTTGCCTTGTCGGAATGGGACACGGCACGATGACAGTCCCACTTACTCCAGCTGCTGCCAGGTACAAAGCGATTCCATTTCCTGTCCTTTTTTTTTAGCTTTCTCGATAAAATCGAATCGACCCCTCTCTTGTCCTACATCAATAACTTAAGTTTTTAGGCATTGTGGTTCAAAAGTGTAACTGCATGAGCTTATTACATAATTAGGGGTTTCTCGCCTTATCTGATATTAGAGTTTTGTCTTTTGAACACAGGGAGGTTGATGTTGTTGGAATTTTCCGGTACAAGAACACATGGCCGCTTTGCCTCGAGTTTTTGAGAAGTGGGAAGATCGACGTGAAGCCGCTCATTACGCACCGGTTCGGGTTTAACCAAAAGGAGGTGGAAGAAGCATTTGAAACCAGTGCCCGTGGGGGAAATGCCATTAAAGTCATGTTTATTTTGTGAAAGATGAGTCACGAGTTGGTGAATTTCGGACCCCTGAGAGGACAAGTTGTGATGGCTTGGAATATCGGAAGTTCATAAATCTCTGATGAGAAATGGAGATGCAAAACTTGTTGATGTACAGAGACCATATACCTTCATAAAACCTCAGCTCCATTAGTGTTTTCTTATTAATTTTTTTTTTTTTGTGATTTTACTTTTTACATGAGTCCTTCAATACCTATGAACTATATATGTAAGATGATGCCTAAAGGTTCTTAACTACGAGGCTATTTTTTTTTTTTTTTTTTGACACAAATGGTTTTATTTAACACAAGGCTCATGGTTGTGGTGTAGGGCTTCTCCCATTTCTTTGAACCCTATATGTTCTACAAAAATAGCCACATACTCATGGCCACATTGTTGTTAACATATAAATATCATTTAACTCGTCAAGGAATATGAGGAATTCAAAACTTTGGACTTACTTTCAACTTTAGGAAGAAGAGAACCATCAAGCTAAGAGTTTGTCGGTGCCTCGCATTTTAGTTGATGATAAACCTCATTCGTAAATGGAGGATTATGGGGTAACCAAATGTGACTTATGTACGAGTTAGGTTAACCAAAATGCAATCTATATTAGCATTCAAATACACTTGGCCACATTGATTTTAATTGATAAATATAAACGAACTTGTCCATTTAAAATTGTAGTATTTTTATCAACAAAAAAGGACGAGTTCAAGTTCTAGACCTCTTCTAATATTACGAATAAAAGTATCACTAGACTAAGAGTTCGATGGTACTTCGTGTTTTATTTTTTCGGTCAAGTGGCTTCATACATAGATGCATCGTGAGGAGGATTACGAGAGATACTTATAACGCGAGGAGGATTATGAGAGGTACCAATAACGTGACCTATGCACAAGTTAGGTAAAGAAAAGGTAGTATATGATGTAGAAAGAAAAAAAATTGAAGGGGACCCTTAAATAATATCTCCCAGCTAGGATGTGTTGCAGATCCAGGAGGATCCTTGCCGGATCTTGTGAGGATCCTCTAATCACATCCGTTCATTGTATATCATATGGTCAGAAATCATTGTAAATTTTTTTATTTAATTTGAATATAAACAGTACCTGACAAAAACTGACCGCATAATGTACAATAAACGGATGTGATTGGAGGATCCCTGAAATTCTCACAAAGAGAATCCGGCGAGAATGCTCTCTCGTTGCAGACATGCTCAAACTTCTAACTTCCAACTTCCAACTTCAACTTCCAAGCAAGAAAAGTGACAAACCATGTAAATATTATAATGCGGGACTTTCCCCAGTTGTTGTAGATCATAAAATTGACTACTCACCATCCTCCATCTTCAAAACATGGTGTGGACATGACATCTAAGTTTTTCCCAAGCCTGAGGTAGGGACCCAAATATTTTTAGCAAATGTGGTCACATGTCTTTTCAAGCATTGTAAGTGTTTTTTTAATTTTTCGGTTAGTAAAAATATACTTGGTCTCTTGCATTGGTAGAACTGTATAGCTATCATCAATGCATTTCTTGGTCAGATGACACTCGATATTCATCAAGCTGCAAAACAGAACCATTTCATCTGTAAGCTTCCAAATGACATGGATTAGCTGTGTACTTTGAAGCAACGCCACTTTGGGAACAATTGAAGAAAATTTCATCATCACAACTCCGTTTCTTAATTCATACACATCCATTCACATGTATATTTTGTTTGAGCAGGTCATTGCAAGGGATTCCAAGCATTTTATCAGTCATCCCAGCTATCCCATGTAATCTCAGAAATTCAAGAGATCATGTGCAATGCAACCCTCAACCCTGCGAAATTAATGGCTACTACCCAACGCAGAGTGACACGTACACACCATGTCATATATGTGTGTGACCGAACACGATAGGAAAACAGCATCAATAGTCATTGACACAAGATGAGGTGAAGATGAGGTGAATAAAGCATTTAGCCACCGATACATGTGTTCGTGCATGGTGCATGTTACTTAGATAATGCTTCAAAATCTCCGACTGTTGAAGAGAACCTCGATACTAGCTCTTTACGAGTTCATGATGCTTCTCTTCAATGGTTTGTGCAAACTCAAGATTTATCTACTCCAAATGCCGGAGCAACGAAGGGGCAGCTAGCCTGTAAGGCGATTCCCGGCATAATGTATATTGATCTCTCAACAATCCAAAAGCAGCCAGAGGGAAGGGTAGGAGGTAGACAGTTCCAATGACCCATGGGATATCCAGCAAGAGAGAGATAAAGGTCTCCAATGAAGGAGGAGGATTCTCTCCCTTCCAATCTCTCTTCTCTTCCCTTCCCTCCTCTTCTATTTAAACGGTTACAATTAAACCACGTTATCATCTTGTATTGATTTTTTAGAGAGAAAGAAAGACAAAAAGAAAACTATGAGAGAAAGAGTGAGAAGAAGATAAGAATAGGAAATGGGAGAATCGTACTCTCTCTTAATTTGAATCGGTCTTGCCCTCACTATATTTTCATAACCTTAGGAAAATGTAATTTCTCTGCTCCAAGTCAGCTGCTTCCACTTGTTTTTGTCTTCCACTTTGATCAAAGAGTATGAGTTTTATAAGTTGCAACTTGCAAGTGACTTTATTCCTGTCGTTTATATATATATATATATATATATTTGCTCTACATCATCAATACATTGACATCATAAAACTACAATATGCCTAGTCATTTTCTTATCAAATAAATAATTTCATAAAATAAACTCCAACGTTACATTAAAGTCGTCTGCAAGACCAAAACACACACTAAGAGTTCAACAACACAAAACTATTGGGAAAGACAACCACATCAACTAAACAAAACTAGCGCATAACCAAAACTAATTTTAATCACTAACCAAGCCCAAGAAACCCAAAACCTTAAAACAACCCATAAATATCTAAAGCAAATTGCCGCCAACAAACCAAGGACAATTAGTTGAGCCAGGTGCAATGGTGCAAAAAAGTCTGCCCAACAACCCTAGTCATCGGCCATCCAGAAATTAAACCTAAACGTTACCTCATCTTAAACTGTCATTATGTTTTTCACATTACCAAACGTCAATGAGAAGAGAGGGTCTTCTATACGGCACCCGGAAGCCGGTGTTTGTAAGAGAGGGTGAAACCAAAAATGGGCCAAAATGAGCATGAAAAATTAGGAAGGATGGAGTAGGTGAGTGTTGTTTGTGTATGGAGCGACACATATATACACGTGGTCCTGTTACTGAACCTCATAATTTCTCTAATGAAAAAGCCATTTGAATCACCAATAAAAGTTCTTTAAAAAGAAAAGGCTAACAAGAGTAGCATATTCCACCTTATATAAATTGCACCATTCAAGTTATTGCTTAAGACTTTTGACTTCAATTTCTCATAATGATGCAGTAAGTCTCATGCGTATAGGAACCATCAAATATATTTAAGGGGTGTGGTCAAACTCGGATTTGAGAGGATTTTAAAAGACTTTAAGATCCTAGTGTAATCAATTAAAAGATTTTAGAGGATTTTAGAATCCATTAAAATCTAGGTGTTGTCAATTAAAAGATTTTAAAGGATTTTAGAATCCATTCAAATCTAGGTGTAGTCAATTAAAAGATTTTAAAATCCATTCAAATCTAAGTGTATTAAAAAAAATTAAGATTTTGGAGGATTTCAATAAGTTGTGGATTTTGTGGGATTTGAGAGCTATAACCAATACTAAAAAGAATCCAACCTCACCCCCTACGATTTCAAATCCTTCCACCACAATCCATTCAAATTCTTTAAAATTCATATGAATTTTGTAGGAGTCTTTAATCCTCTTAAATCGTATAAAATCTATCATTTTTAAAATCCTTTCAAATCTTAGTTTGACTACACCCTATATAAATTAAATATTCCACCTTATATAAATTGCACCATTCAAGTTATTGCTTAAGACTTTTGACTTCAATTTCTCATAATGATGCAGTAAGTCTCATGCGTATAGGAACCATCAAATATATTTAATTGAGTTTTAGAGCAACACAAATAATTAAGTAGTCATTTAAGAACATTTTAAATATTTTTGGGGTAGATCAAAAGTCCAATTCGGACTAGAGTTTTATTGTGTTATATTCCTTACAAATATATGTACTTAACCTTTGAGAAAGGAGACTTGAATGAATTAAAATATCATTTGCTTAGTGCAATCGAAGTGAGTTGTTTCTTCTTCTAAAATCAAGTGTGAGACTTGATCGTGTCGAGTAAATCCACAATTAGCAACATGAGTGATTTTCGTTACCCTTGGTTGAGTGATTCCCAAGTATCTATCCCCTGTTCTTTCTATTTTCCTCGGTCCTTTGGTTCTTTCCTGCGCCACATAAGTACTTTTGTCTATACAAATAGATCACTTTCGCTACATCTTGAGAAACTTATCTCACACTGTTTTAATTAGGGAAAATAGGATCAAAGGCCAATGGAAGATGGTGAGCGCACTCCTTCGGCAAATCTAACCCCACATAACATATGCCTTGAAATAAAATAAAAAATAATTAATTGATACCAAAATCACGATAACCCGTAGTAATTCTTTTATCAAAATAAATAAAGATAAACTTCAACATGACATCAAAGTTATTTACAAGATGAATACACACCAACCAAAAGGACAACATCACACTCACAACAGGCAACAACCTCATCGACCACTAAATATCAAACATAACCGAACGAAGCTTAATCAGTAACCAAGCTCAAAGAACCCAAAACCCTAAAACAACTGATAAAGCTAAAGCAAAACAACTATGGCCACCATTTGAAAAGAGTGCCGGCATCAAACTCGCTGCATCTAACTGAGAAGATTTTGTGTAACATCGGGAATCATTCAGTCCAATAACCCTTGTCAGATTTAGATCTAGGTGATCATTTCGTGTTTATCGTGTTTGTGTTATTTTCGTGACATACCTGATATCTAAACAGAACGTGTCATGTCAAATCCGTTAATTAACGGGATGATCCAATGATGACTCGATTATTTAATGTGTTGATCCTAAATCCGATATTTTCATGTCGAATTAATGGGTCGTGCAACAAATTCTTAGGTCTAGTCAAATTATAGTCATCGGCAATTCCCTAATTAAGCATATTCCAAAAGGAAAAAAAAAAAAAAAAACTAATATATGAATATCTACATATTAAGGTATATTCCACCTTAATTATAAAATTGCTCTATTCCAGGTTACTATTTAGACTCAAAGTTGCTCTTAAACACCTTCGACTAAACAAAGAGTAATGTTAGGA